ATTCCCCCTCCCAAAATGACAGCCAACCTTTGTTCAAATAGGGGTGCAAGAGTGCAACCTGAAAACTTTAGTGTGTAGTTTATTTATACCCCACTTTTATTATTTTTACAAATAGCTCAAGAGGGCGAACTTATCCCACAGATCTTCTTCCTTCTATTTTCCCCACAACAACAATGTTGTGAGGTGGGCTGGGCTGAGAGAAAAAGATTGGCTCAAAGTCACCCAGCTGCCTTTTATGGCTAAGGCAGGACTTGAACTCATGGTTGCACTTTTAAATGCTGTCTGGTGGAATGGGATGGAGACAGTGCAGCCATCATTGCTCTGTTGATCTCACTATGGCTTTTGATACCACCAACCATGGTATCCTTCTAGAATAGCTCTGAGGTTGGGAGGGGCACTGTGTTGTCCTGGTTTCCAGTTGGTGTTGATCAAGAATGAGAGGTCTGATCTGTAGCCCATGCTTTGTAGGGAGTACAGCAGTGGTGGGTTGCAGGCAGTTGCATACCGGTGCCTGCCGGGTGCACCGGGTACAGTTCTGGTACAGTGTTCCGGAGGGACCACCCGCCCGCCCATCGTCCTTACCTGTATTTGAGCTCTTCGGCACTTCCGCACATGGAGCATATGGCGCCTGCACAACATTCCACTGAGCAGTTGGAGTGTCGCGGAGCATCGCAGGAGGTAAGGATGCATGGGCGTGCTACGCACATTCATGTGGACGCTGGGCCCCGTTGCACCATACCGGTTGCACCGGGATCTGGAACCCACCACTGGTCTACAGGGGTTGGTGCTTTCTCCACTCCTATTTAACATCTGCATAAAGTTGATGAATGATCTCATCCAGCATCATGAAATTATTATTAGTATGCTGATGATATTCAGTGGTACATTTTCTGCCTGAAATAGTGAAGTGAATATGGCTTCCCCATTGACTTTGCTTGTCAGAAATTTGCAAAAGGTGAGCACGTGACCCCTGGACCCAGCAACCATCATAAACATGAACCCATTGCCAAGCATACGAATTTTGATCATTTGACCATGGGGATGCTGCAACAGTTGTAAGTGGGCAAAATGGTCATAAATCACTTTTTTCAGTGCCATTGTAACTTCGAATGTTCACTAAATAAACTGTTGTAACTCAAGGACTACCCTGTTTCCCTGAAATTAAGACCTCCCTGGATAATAAGCCCAATCGGACTTTTGAGTGCATGCATTGAAATAAGCCCTCCTCAAAAATATTGCAACCCAGCAGCAACCATGAGGTGCCCACGCTCGACGCCTCCTGCACCTCAAAAATAATAAGACCCCCATAAAAATAAGACCAAGTGCTTATTTCGAGGGTCAAAAGAAAATAAGATTTTCTTATTTTCGGGGAAACATAGTACCTGTAGTTAAGGCACCAGGCTAGAAACCAGGAGACTGCGAGTTCTAGTCCCATCTTAGGCATGAAACTGGCTGGGTGATCTTGGGCCACTAACTCTCTCTCAGTTAAATTAACATCGCAGGGTTGTTGCTGTGAGTAAAATAGGAGGAATGGGTGTTGTTTGTATATGCCATCATATCTATAGTTATCAGTGGTGGGTTTGCAGGCAGTATGCCCCAGTACACGTATACTGGTGCCTGCTGAAAGCAGCAGCCACCGTACCGGAACGGTGCTTTGGAGGGCCCGCCCGCCCTTGTTCCTTACCTGTATTTGAAGGAAACAGGCTATCTGCGCATGTGCGCGCAGCGTACAGCACCTGTGCGATGCTCCGCCAAGCAGCTGGTGCACGCCCAGCTCCCATTGTAGCATATCAGTTGCAACGGGAGCTGAAACCCACTACTGATAGTTGTTATTATAAAAATAAAAGTGGGCTATAAATAAATATGTTGTGGGTGCCATACATTAGAGAAGTATATCTAATTGGATCATGAAGAAATGGTCTTCTCTGTGCTGGCTCCCTCCCTTGAGAGACCGCCTTCTGCCGATTACCTCCCACAGACCCATTCAATCCCACAGATTAGGCCTCCTCCGTATTCCATCT